ACAATATAGTCGTTAAACGGTGTGTAAATGATAATCTTATTTATCGACATTGTTTCTATGCCTCTCTCTCTCTCTCTCTCTCTCTCTCTCTCTCTATATATATATATATATATATATATATATATATATATATATATATATATATATATATATATATATATATATATATATATACGTCCATGTTCACTCGTATTTGAAAGTATAGGGTTATTAATCAGTTGATAACAACCTTTATTACTATTGTTATCAAAATTAAAATGTTATTTTCAAATCGTTCAATTTGTTTATAATGATTATTTGGCATTGGAAAAAAGTGAACACAATATACAAGAAAGTATGATGATTAGGAGTATTTAAATTATAGTATGAACTAAGAATCCCAGAAATAACGTAATCGGATTAAGAGGTACTAGATAAGCACAAACGAATGTATTGTATTTAGAATTCGAAATCAAGCATTCAACAAATACAAAGGTATCATTAGTTCATTCAAACCCCACAGAAAATCATTTGATTATCACAGTTATTTAATATATTTAGTAATGTTAAGATCAATTGGAAGTAAGGTCTTCATGATTTAGAGTTTAATTGAAATAGAATAATATCTTTTTCATTTAGGACTTAAAAGAATCAGATGATTATGCTCTGTAGACTATCAGAAGGTACAATACAACTCTTGTGACCTTCAGTCTTTTTATATATCTGTTAATTGAATCCCTTGACCATGTCCATGAATAAGAATGTACTTCATGCCTATTGCATCATCTACATTAACTTTATTAAATGACAAGCTCTAACCAGTTACACAAAGATAAGAAATTATACTTTACACATAACTGAGACAAAGGTCACATAAAACTGAGGAATGGACCCTTATTAATTAACGATATTGTATGTATCGGACAAAGTACTAGTATGGGACTCCTCAGCAGTGCGCATCCATACTAAGACGAAATGGCCGTCCAGTGCTTCCAGGCTTTCCATGGTGGTCTAGCTTCAATTGACTCATGATTTCAACTATTGAAATTACTAAAATCTCCACAAAACCCCTTCTGATAATATCACTTATAAATTATGAATAAGGATAATTTGCTTTTAGGAAGAACAGTATTTTGAATTCCATTTTTTTATTGAATTAAGCAACAGTTATGTCCAGAGGTTTTGCCTCATAAATACCTTGAAACAATTTTTAATCAAATTGCCAAATAACATCATGACCAGCTCTACCAATAACGTCACAATGCAAGCCTTCACATGGAATCCTGAAGGTCAAAGGAGAAGAGGAATACCAAAGAACACATTACTCCGAGAAATGGAGACAGATATGAGACGAATAAACAACAATTGGATAGAACTAGAAAGGAAGACTCAGGACAGAGTGGGTTGGAAAATGCTGGTCAGCGGCCTATACTCCACTCGAGGTAACAGGTATAAATAAGTAAGTAAGTAAAATATTGTAGAATCAATCCATTAATGGAACTGATTAATTTTATTGTCAGTAGTGTAGAAAGCTTCACAGAAGTTAAATATAATTTCCCTAGAAAAAGAATTTATTCATAATTTTCTCAATACTGAGTACTGTTCTATATTTTGGTAATATTCAGTAACATAGATATGAATTAATGAATTTATATTGACTTTCTACGACAGACAAAGGAACATCATCAGTTGTGTTATAAAAATGAATAATCTTTCACACAAGAATAAAGTTTATCTCTATGCATATCATTATTTTTTGGTTAGCGTTTTTTTTAAGCGAGTTAGTTTTCTAGGGGATGGAGTCACTAACCCCATGCCCAACCCTCCTCCATTACCCAGGCTTGGGATCGGCATTAACAATAGAAAAGCTACAGGCGGAGTTCTACATAAATCATAATGTTATGAAATTGATGGTTTGCTTAAATTATTTCATTGAAAGGAATAGTCCTTACCATGAATCAATATTATTTAGAAATTAAGGGAAATGAAATATCTTTGTTTTTCCTAACATTAACTCACGCAATCAATATTTTGCATTGATAACATGATTACCTCTTTAAAAAGACACTTAACTAACAACACCTAGACCTTGTGGTGATTATTTTAAAATATTTAAATACTGAAGAAGATTCGCAGCTCAAGTGGATGCTCTTGAAGAAGTTTCGTTTTCCGAACTAGATGCTTTAAATGTAGATCTTTCATTGTTAATCTAAACATTAAATATATAGTGAAAATTATTATCGTTTATTGCATAATCGTTATTCACTAACGTGCCTCTTATGCAAATAGTTAATTTCTCAAACATTAAGCTAAAAAGTTGATAAATGGAAAATAGTATCCTTATTTTCTTCTTTAAAACGAATTGATCCACAGATGTAGGATAAATGTACATTTTCTATTTAGTAAAGAAATAATTAGACAGTTCGATAGTCCCATTATGGTGTCATTAGTAGTTCCAATAATGATGGATTGTTTTGTTTTGAAGAATTTTAATTGGCTATTTGTTAGGTATGATAAACAAATTGGAATGTTGTTGTCACTGCATAGATGATAATTTCTTATTCCTGAAAAAAAACATGAGGGAAGCTTAGAACTTATTATAAACATTTCACAGAGTTCACCAACGAGCTCCTTTAACAAAGTTGAAAGTAAACTGTAATGCTATCCTCTTTCTATATATCCTACTGATGAAAAGACATAATAGGGCAATAAAAAGAAATGTTTATAGTGAATTGACCATGCTAAAACAAGGAACATGTTTTTGAGCTTTGTTGAATTGCAATATTTCGAAAATTTATTTAAATATCTGGTCCACAGAGTTAACGTTTTTTGTTCTGATGATACTTGTGAGAGGAAAATTTAGTTCATCCATAATCTACCATGCAACAATCATTAAAGTTTCTAATGTAACATTCGTTGTTAAGTAAATTTAATAGTTCACCAATATACCAAAATGTTATTTTTGATGAAAATACAGTTCACTGGGGATATGGCAAGTGAAACAAGGGACGGATATTTAGAGCTGTAAAATTACGTCCTTCTTTCTTTAGCCAGCTAACAGTGAATTCAAGAAATAACGATTAACTACTTAGTTCCTATGCTCCTATGGAGTCAAATATATTGGACTTACAACTAGACAGTTACTTCATCAAACTTTTGGACATCAACATGTATGGAACAGAATAAAACAATACGAAGCTGTAATGTGGGACATTTAGTCAGTACCACGCATCCTATCGACATATATTCAACTTTCAAGGTTACCGTTAGTATTCCGTCTAATCTGCCTCATGATCCTGGAATTCGTCCCTTATCTACTACAGAAGCCATAGGAATATATATAACAACATACGTAATCTTGTCTATTAAAAACGTTTGTACAGAATCTTCAATTATCCTAGTCTTTTAATTTGTTATCCTTACATGTCTAAAATTACTTTTTTATATTCAGTTTTCATTCTTAATTTCTTTCTTACGTAAGCTGTCTTAGTCACCAAAATAGCTAACTTTCTTTACACTTGTTTTATAACGTACTTACTATTAATTTTACAAGTAATACTAAATATTTACATTAAATTTCAAAATTACTCAATTCTTATTAGTGTAAACTAACCAATTGTATAATTTCGCTTTATTTTTTCTCTTAATTTTAACTTTTTATCCATTATGTTACTAACAACTGGTTACTACCATCCTAGAAACTCTTGGAGCTGATGGTCTAACCAAACCATTCAGCTCAGAGAAAAAAAACTCCATTAAAATCATCCACCTCAGATACAAATCTTCTCCACCATCTCAAAATCTTGAGGCCTACTATTCAATTGATGTAGTATTGTTTAACTGGTATTGAGTTTATACATAATTCATAAAGTATATATTAGTGTAAAACCTTGACGAGAAATTAATTTTAAAAAATATTCCTTCCTTCAATTTATATTTGATAAAGTTTATAATGCCACAGTACTTCTTAGTGTATGGCGTTTTAAATGTAATTTATGGTTCATGCACTTTGACATGGTTGATGTGATGTTACGTAATATTGACCATTCTGTTTAATGTTTACTTAACATTTATCGTTCCTGCAGATTTCGGTACGATGAATTACTTATATTATAACACGAAACAATAGGTGATGTAGTAATAGCTTATGTAATACAACCTATCATATATCTTGTAATGGTTATAAGGTCATGAAAATCGATTAAAGTAGCTGCCAATGCACAAAAACGTAAATAAGAATAGAATTAAAGGCCTTATTAACATAAGTAACCTATAGTAATGGTGTCGTAATGTATGCATTGAGACATAATAATAAAGCAAAGTTCAACACAAACATTATAAACAGGCAGAAGTGGAAAGATATACAGAGTCATTGATTATTGATTAGACATACGATAAAAGTTAACTGTTTAATAGATATCAAAAAGTTTACTACCAAAAAATGTAGAAACATTATAATCACAGAGGATTTATAAAGGTTCCTGGTACATCTAAGAATAATCAGGAATGAACAATATTGTTCCAGATGTTATCCAGGTATGTTAAAATCTAATCTCTGTCAGTTGTTTGAAATCATTTGATAAAAAGTTATGGTCCTACATTATATGGTTGTGGACATTTTTAAGTAAGGAGTATCAGAAGTCTTAAGAGAACTGATACAACTACTACCCAGCTATTCTAATCAACTACATTAATACATATCATTTAAGCCGTTGCTATCAAGCTATTTAGGCTCACTTATTATCTTGCTAATTATCTTTTTGAGGGTATTTATATAGTGGAAAAAGATTATATGTATAAATAATCTTATAACGGTAAGAGCACCTCATTTCTGTTGATTAAACTTGATGACGTGAAAGGAAACTGACTTAATCATCAAGAAAGAATCTAAGTCGTTACCATAAGATAAGCTATTTGCAATCTAAAGCCTGGGAGAGTAACAAATGGGGAATGTTGATCATAGAATGAATTTTCGAATAAATTTCTGGTAAATTATCATAAACAAGTAAAAGAAAACATTTGGAGTAGATATTTATTACCTTACTCCGTGCAAATAACAACTGTGACTGAAAAATCTTAATAGCTAAATGATATACTTAACAGTTATCACGTTTCCTTGTGGAAAAAAAACGTTAGTTGAAGTGGTTAGAATTATGATAATTATTAAATATCCAAAAGTTTATGTGATAGGTCTAAATTACTGATAAGTAGCTAACATTTTGTAGACGAAAAATATAAACGTATTTGTTAAATAGTATATATGGAAAGCTGCTGAACACTGATAACCATTTATGATGATGAGAACTATTTCCCTTCAGGTAAAGAATTTGGTAATAATTTGGAAAGACGCTTATGTTTTTGACGCTGGTTGCAAAACCATACACGTATTACGTTTTTTGGCATATTTAATCGCAAAGCTAATTGATTCATTTGATCCGAGGTTGGTCTACAGTTTGTTGCGTTAAAAAACGATTCAAGAATATATTTTTCTCTACCCATGATACATGTACGTTTACGACGTTGATTCTCTACAGAATCTTTTGATGGAGTAAATGGTGAGAAAACTGGAGAGGTAGTTGAAGAGTTTGAGGAATTCCTGAATGAGTCTGTGGAATCGTAGGTGTACGATTAAAACAGTTACGTGATTCTTGTAGGTGATGTTCTTGATTTACCCATAAACCACCCTCCATTTGTTGTAACCAAATTTCTAAAACAGGTTTTAATGCAAGCATGTTTTTATGTGATAATGATAAGGATTCAAACCGACATATTGTCGACTGTGATAAACAACCGAAACCACTTAAATTTAGTGCGCCCAATGCACGTCCTACTTCAGCTTGTGTTATGCCAAGTTGTATTCTTTTTTCTTTAAACATATCTACAAATTCAGACAAAGCGTCTGACTTTCCTAATGGCTGGACAGTTTTTGTTGTTGTTATGGTACAATCTGAATTGGCATGATGACTATTGATTGAAGATATAGATGACCATTTATCCCATTCAGAAGATGACATATCACACTGGCACTGATTTTGATGGTCACTTATAAACAAATTTAAGTCTGATGATTTACCAGGTGGATTGTTGTCATTATTGTTGTATTTTAAATTGGATGATATAAATGGATCAGGTATCCCACAACTGTTAATCCCAATTTCGAAAATTGGTGAACGGAAATTAGAAATCTCATTATTTTGGTCAAAATTTCTTGATGGCTGTTTTATACTATTCAAAGAATGTTCATAAGAAGAGCAATATTTAGTTTCTGGCTTAGAATCATTTACATTATTATCGCCATCACTTTTTGGTCGAATCATTATCGTTTCAGTGTCATTAAACTTCAATGTATTAAGTTGAAACATTGAACTTTGTTCATTTTTGCAATCGGTTGAATAATTCCGGTTGTTTATATTTAATAACGATGAATGGTGATTCATTTTATGCATACTACATAAAGTTTTCTGATCAGTATTTTTTTGGATCCATAGGTTGGTTGATCATACATTTGACGAAAAATCTATAATGAACTTATCACATTATTTAGGTTGTATTTGTTGTTTAGGGTAAATTACATTCAGATTTACTAATCATAAGTATGAAAATCCGGAAAGAAATGCCCAAACATTGAAACAGTCGATTATTATCAACACATTTATGAACTATTATTAACATCATCCATTTTGAAGGTCAGTTCATTGAATGGCTTTCTCAGTTGGGATTCTGAAGCATAATGATCATAATAAAATCAGTAGTTGTAAATTATTCGCTTCGTAGTAATTACGTTAACTAAAGTATCATTAAATGTTGGGACAAAATTTTTTGAATAGATGTAGAGATAATAATGTACGAAGTAGAAAAAGTTTAGTGTTCTTCTACTTTTTAATTGGAATATGCTGGTTTTTCATGTTTCAATCCATCCTATAAAAATATAGGAAACAAATGGACATTTTCATCATATTAATTATATGATGTATAATTTTCATAAATGATAAAGATTCTTACTATCGAAGTAGATATTTTATAATATTGGACCAGTTTATTCATTAACAAAGAAGAAAAACCAGAGGAGTTTTTGTGGATATTATAGTAATTCCGATGGTCAAGATCATCAGCCAATTGAAGCTAGACCACCATGGAAAACTTGGAAGCACTAGACCACTGAGCCGGCATTCAACAGTGGTTAAGCGCTCGTGCACGAGACTGATATATTCTGCGTTCGAATCTCGCAAGCCGGGATTGTGGATGCACACTGCTTAGGAGTTCCACAATGGGACGAAATGGCCTCCAGTGCTTTCAAGTTTTCCATGATGGTCTAGCTTCAAATGACTCATGATCGTAACCACTGATAGAAGAAAAACTCATCAATACCTATTTCTGTGTGATAGTGAATATTATTTACTAATTTTCAAAATGATCAGTATAGTTTGTAAACATTGTTGGATTAAAACAAATTGTCCTTATCTAATAGAAATTAGAGAATATTAGACAATAATTTCATCCTATTGTAGGATTGTTTAGGTCTGCAGACACAAGATTCCACCAGAGATGAAAACTAGAATATTCAGGCCTAAATATTTATTTATCCAATATCAGTCCATGAACAATCGTTTCAAATTTCCAATTATGAGAAACGGTAAATCAAAGATGAAGATGGAAGACACAACAGTCTATGATCTATTACTTTTACCTGTCATAATAGATATAAACTTGTAATGAATTTTTTTTCTTTCACACTTTCATATTCAGTAAATTTAAAAATGCCTGAGTGATGTGATATACACATTTATTCATCGAAAGTTAGAGAACACTTTAAAAATGACCTTTAAACTGATCAGAAATCCTTTCTATTTAATGATATTATGTATCGTTAAACGCTTCTTGTAAGTCATCTTACTGGGTATCACTTTGAGTATCCCTTAAAAAATTGTATAGTAACAAAGGAAAGCGTAGGAAATAGATACCATCATAATCCGTTTTATTATGGTTAGTTTAATCAACACACCATACGGACAGACAGACACTGGATTCTCTTTTTTCAGTTCATAATATAAGAACGAACGTTTCCATAGATGAAAGAAATTTATCTTAACCTTTTGTAGCCAGTGACATAATTCTGTTCACTATTTTTTCACATTTCAGGGCTTTTCAATAGTTTTTTGTATTCGTATCAGAAGGAGTTTTGTGAAGATTGTAGTAATTTCAATAGTTGAGATCATGAGTCAATTGAAGCTAGACCACAATGGAAAGCCTGGAAGCACTGGACGGCGTTTCGTCCTATTTATTTTGCTTTGATAAAACATTTTTTCTTAATTTTAACAATCTTATCTTATCCATTATCTATGATGAAGTTATATAATTTAAATCACGGATTGATACTGATTAAACAACTTTTTAAAAAAATCAAGGATTACTAAATAGTTGTTTCATTCTGTTGTGAGATTCTTAAGCGGAGCGTATGTACAACTCAGGACTGTCAGGTCTAGCAATGAATACTCAACATTTAAACCAGTGAGTTCAATGGTTTATACTTCTAAAAATTAAACAATTCACAATTTTGTGCAAATATCATTGATCAATGACATTTGATGATGACAACAGAATAACAAGAATTGATATTCTATGATGTGTATACAGATAAACCATACTTATAAGTTCATATTTTTATAATTATAGTATTGATTAACATTTATCCAGATTTTATTACAAGAAAGGTTTAACAAATTAGATTAGAAGTTGGTAATGTAGACAGTAAATAATGTACTATATCTCAGATCTTTGGAATCATTAATAAGATCTTGAATTAAAATGCATCTCACTACACAGTCATTCAAACCACTGAATCGCCTGGTGACAATACGCTGCAGAATATTGAGAGAAATGACTCGATTTAAGTTCTTTTTTTAACATGGAATTTAAATGAACAAAGCTTGTTATACTAAACTCAAAATATTCAATAATTAAACAATAATAATTCACATATACAAAACCATTTATCTTTTTCATTTGATGATATTATGAACTATAATTTATCGGTCACTATTGGCATATCAAAACCCTGAAATGATTGACTCCGTACTACTTTCAGCAATAAGTTAAGAAACAACAACTAGATTATAACTATCAAGATTTAATAGATTAGTGAAAAACACAAAAGTTCAAATCATAGAGTCAATATTATACACTAAGACCCCAAGTACAACTAAACAGAACGAAATATATGTGATGAATTTCAGAACTAGTTACAATTCAACTTCATTCATTATCATTTATGTTTTATTTTATAAAATATAAAATCACCTACCGTTAAACTAAATCTATAATAATTTCTCTTTAATATTTTAAAAGAATACAATTTCATATAAAGATGTTACTACTCATATTTATTCATTTAGTTGTTATGAACAATGAAAGGATTAATGATAAACCAATCAAAAATAATAATAATTAGAATTTATTAACCAATTAATTTCTTTGCTTCTTTTTATAAGGACATATATATGATTAGGATCATGAGTCAGTTAAAGCTAGACCACCATGGGAAACCTGGAAGCACTGGACGGCCGTTTCGTCCTATTGTGGGACTCCTCAACAGCGCGCATCCACGACCTCGCCCCCTGCGAGATTCGAACCCAGGACCTACTGGTTTCGCGCCCGAGCACTTAACCACTAGACCACTGAGCCGGCATTCAACGGTGTTAATGTCTAACTTTAACTAATCCACGAAATCGAGCGACACATTCGCCATTGTCTTCAGTGAGTTACTATCTCACAACTGACTCATGCTCTTAACCATTGAAATTACTACAATCTCCACAAAAACCCATCTGATATTAAACATATATATGACTTTAATTAAATTTACTTCGATAGCTTTGAAGTAAGATTCTATTATTATTATTATTATTATTATTATTATTGTAGCGAACGGAACACGAGTGGCGACTAATCGAACATGTCTGACACATCATTACACGACTTGTTAATAAAATCTAACAATCAAATAGTAAATACGTACTTTGCGAAATGTCCATCAATTGTCTCCAAAATGACTCAGACTTCATTGTTCTTGTATTTTCATGCAAATTGCATTCTGTTTTCGTTCTTAAATGTTCGATCCTCTTGTTTCTCTGCTGCCAGACCTTCTGTTCACGACTAGTATCACATACTACTTATGTCAGTTTAGGTAGCACACACCACACTATTACTATTATTATAGCAATAATTATCATATTCGTAGAATTCAGGTTTTTTTAGAATTTATTTCTTACAATGTTTCTACAACCTTAGTTATACAAGTGGATTTTTTCTCCCTGTATATATGTATCTTAAAGCATAAATTAATGAATTAAAGGTTTATAATAAGGGTTTGGATTCTCCCTTCATATATTTATATATTCTTTATTGACCTGGCATCTGACTCCAGTTAGGTCGTATGAATTTTTGCTGTCGAAATATATATCCTAACCATCCTCGTATATAATTATCGACTTAGATCGCGTTAGTGAATTATGGGGCGAGACTATAATTTATAAACGAACCAATCAGAAATAAGATAACGAGTCATGAATTTTGAGTGCGAAATTCATCCATATATATGGCTAAATAGTGTTTTGGCATTATAGTTGATGTCAGTTCGTGATGAAAAGCCTGAATCTAATTTTTAAACCTAACCATCAATTGTAAATGAGAATTCTAACTGCTTTATAACTCTCATTTTGTCCTAATCACTAGGTGTCCACCCTTAGGGTCACTTCGCATCGCTCAAAAGTCGTCCATAAATTATAGTCTCACAAATAACGGAATTAAATAAGTCAAATGCAAGAATGGATTTTTGAATGAGTATATTTTGCACACTCACTGATCGAGACAGAAAATCAGAGAGATGAGGCGAATAGAAGAGAGCGGAGGGAAATGACGCGCAGTGGAGAACGCATGTGAGCCAACTCCATTTAACCGAGCGTCAATCAATATTTATAGTCACACAAAATAAACTACAGACATGTGGTGAGTAGGATAAGATGTACATACACATACGCTCATATAAAACAGTCAAGATTGATAAGCGAATAATTAACGTGGTCAAAATATGACTCAAGAAAAATGAATAGATTGGCCTGTCCAGAAGCTAGAATAAGTGGTATGGGCTTAACATAATAACCGACACTACAATTCAACAGAAAATTTTGATAATCGTATACGAATCCTGTGAGAACTGACTTGATACAACTATGTTGTAAATTCAGTTGACAATTCTCGAATAGGACGGAGTATCCATCCTGGATTTCATCGATAGCTACAAATGAAGAAATCTTAAAAATGATTACATTTAAATAGCTCTGTCAGGTAGCGTATCTTCCAATAAAGACTGATAAGAGTTCAGTACAAAATCTCAACAATGAGATAATACGAAACCATTTCTAATATTATAAAATATCATACTTGTTGAACAACTTAGTGGTTATTTAGACTCAGAAGATCAATAAATAACGAATCGGGATTTGAAGCGAAAGGTACTGTGTACAAGTATTAGTGTGAAATTCTTATTTACAAAATATAGAAAGGATAGTAATATGAACTGATTTTATTAACTTAAAGCTTTTCATTTTAATGTCTAGTGACATTGTCCATTATAAGTAATAGTGCATAAACATGATCTGGAAATTAATATGCATATTACCAAGACTAATTAATACTACCCTCTACCATTTAAGGAATGACTGTGTTTAAAGTATGATTTTTAATTTGGTATGCTATGTGGTCAGTCATCTCAAGTATATTATTGTATGGCTCTAGAGTCACGATGGGAAACATATCTTCTTACTATCTGTGTCTTCTGATTGCTCATTGGGTTAGAAGAACCTCGAGAACTAATAAGTGATACGCGTTGGATATGATTCATTGGTCGATGTGTTAATTCGCTAAATGGAAGGCTACTACTCCTACTGACCATATAGTGAATTAATCGATAGTCGGACTCCTAATTGGCCAATCAGTATCTCAAGTAACGACAAATTAGCAATAACAAGAGAACAATTAAAGAGGTATTATGAAAGCGTTATGGTTTACAAACCTCGGGAGCTAACCGTTTTTGTCCCTTTACTCTTCCCCGATCATAATCTATTCAGTTTCTCCGTAAATTAGAGGATTGGTGTTAGTCAGTCATTCAGGGATGTTGGTGATCAGTAGGCAAAGAGTTAATGAAGGAGGCCAGTTGAAAAGTCTCTCAAAATATTCATGATTTTAGTATCCGAGTTTGATAATGGATTGTTATGACGGTTTCAATAACAACTAACATTTTAACCTGTTTCATTGATGAAGTCAAATGACCGTCGATTGTTATGTATAGCCTCTACCATTTTACTTATTTAACTTTCGTTATCCATTGTGGTTTACAAGCATTCCGTAGACGTTTTTCCAGTTTCTTTTTATTTTAGTTTTATGAACATATTCAAAACCGTTTTAGAATGAGCTGCTAATAGTCCGCTTCAATGAATATCACTTAGTTTTATTATCTGTAACAAATAGCTTGCTTTGTACAATATCTTCATGTTAAAGTAAGACACTGAACATAATCAATATAAAGTTTAACTTGTAACAAACAGATTAAACATATGTAAACAGTATTGTGACTTTTTTTTATTAAACATTCGAATATCGAATATTACATGCACTTAAGCTTATAAACATGAAAAAAAATTTAATACAGGTATAATCAAGTTGTGCCCATTGATTTATTTAGTTGTTCAAATAAATCTATAACTTATTACATAGAGATTAAATGTGAACACTTGGTAAGGTTACAACTTGGTCACCAGTTATTGTTGACGTAAGGTAGGAATCATAGTTTGTTATTGATAATTACCGGTGTTAGAGATAAGTTGTGTGTGTCTAACTGTATTATGATACAACAAATACTTCTTGTTGACGTAGGAATAGGTTTAAAGAACGCTAGAGGTAGTAAAACCAATAACTGGGGTTAATTCATGAACTTACTGACTGTTGGTCTAAATCTTGTCAGTACGTGCGAACAACCTGGTTGAGGTCAACATGATAGTTGTAATCAATAGTCGAAAAAATTAAACGATCTAGTTCCAAATAGGTTGGAGTTGAATAAATGTATTTATTCATTTTCTCCCCCTGAATCTTAATTTTCAATTTTATTTCATACTAATATTTCGTTAATTCATCTCTTCTTTTAAAACACAATTCTTCACGTTTAACCTCCCTAACTATTATCTTGCAGCTCTCCGCTATTCACCTTGTTAATCTAATTTCGTTATGCTGATATTGTACGGCATATGTATACTAACTTATACATTGTTTATGACAGGCTGACTAATAGTGAGCGTGTTTTGACTATCTTTGCAGGCGATTGTCATATTCTGCAACCATTGATGGGTCAATTCAAGCTCTATAAGTTAACTAAGTTCTGCCTGAGCTGAGTAATAAGCCTACATAATCCCCTAAAATGCATTTTTTTTCCATTTTGGTTTACGATTTCTGAAACTTTTCAACCGAATATCTATCCACAGGCACTGAAATAAAACTATAGATGCTACAATAATATAGCGATTCTCCGACATTGACAAGGTAAGATGACCGATGAATTTAACCATGAAGGGGAACGTTGTAGTGTCTTAGTACTTCTAATAAAGATAATAAATAATCAAGTTTAAGGGTTAAGATCACAATAAAGTAACTAAGCGTCTAATTAGTTTAGAGTGAATTCCTACACATAAAAATCACACAGTAGTCTTCTCTTAATAAAATTTAAGAGTAGAAAATTATTCCTCAGTACTTATTCCATTATGGAATTTATATGATATTGACTAGTGTATATATAATCAACAAACTGTCTCATCTAACGATCACTAGAAGTTTGGTGTATATGATGGATTCAACTTTCGACTGACACTGACAACTATCACTGTTTTCAGTAAGTGGTCTAGAAATGGACGAGCTGCTTGAAAGTAATGGCCAAGGTGTACAGTTTCTTATCAAATAAAGGAACTAAAACATATGTGTCTATGAGCTCGACCATTTTTTAAAGCTTAATACGAATGAATACAGCTGTGATGTTACGAGATATAATTGTTTTATCATTATCCATCTGAGTATGCAATTGATCTTCAGAATAATGATATCAGGGACTTGATAGAGCGTTTACACTCCTAATAATTACCGATTAGTACAACGAACTACTCTATAGCATAGAAAAGAAGCAATTAAAATAAATGTCGTAGAGGATTATTGAGAACACGCAAAATCCGATTTCATGTTGCAAACAGAACATGAAGTTACTTCCTAAGATAAAATAAGTATGACAGATTGAGAATGAAGTTACTACTAGCTAGAAATAACGGAAGGAGTATCCCAGTACCTTTCTGATGTCTTTTTGGTAGGAATGGTTGGATTTCTCTCACTTAAAAAGTAGTATTACAAAACAATGAAAATATAAAGTGTTTGGTTTTTTTGAATCATTGAGCGTTACATAAAAGTTTATTTACTAGATGCGATAATTTCGAAAGTCATAGAAATTTTATTTCATTAATATAAAATGTCTTGAGACTGCGAAAATGGTTTCTCATCACACACACAGTTAATGAACCTGGCGGATCATGGTCTTCAGTTTCATCGGTTAACAGTTAGACAATTTTATTCTTAATGTTCATAGTTTGGTTGGTAGATAAACATATATATGAAGCATAAAACCTACCTTGTTAACTCAGTATTAGATTACAACTGTATTATATTTTTATCTTCTATCATCTGTCAGTTAGTTTGTGGTTGTGTCAAATAAATATGCGTCACTTTCACCGTATTCACCATACATTCGGTCAGCCTAAATGTTAATAATAGCCATGTGACTAGTATGTTCAGTTTTGCGAGAAACGTTTTCTGTGGTGAAAAATGGTGAAGGCACGTAGCAGGGTGTGATGAATCCTTTGAAGTTATTATGAATATGGTTTTGGATGGATACTTAGAATCTCGAAGTTATTATTTATTTATTTAAACACATAAACATTGGTACAAGGAGGCACCAATTAGATATGCGCCACAAAAATCATTCGATTTGTGTGAGGGCTGGGATACTGCCCGGGTGTCCAGACCGAAGCAGAAAATCTTGAAAACTCCTGGCAAGTGTTGTGCTATCAGATACTAACCATCCACTTAATTCATATCTTTCTCATTATATATCTTCTGCTAGTACGAGACCCCAATACATTGGAATCTATTCTACCATACTCTACCATACATTATCTTGTAAAATTACTGTGTGACAAACAGGTTGTACGAGCTGACCCAGTCAATAACCTGAATTCTTAATCATGTTCCTAATTAACATTTGTACAAATTACTTTATTTTATGTAAAAAAAACTGATCATATAATTTCGAATAGTTTATTTATTTAACGTATATATGTATGCAGTCATCGACTGTTTTTCTCGTTTTGTAAAAAGAAACTTGTTGAAATATTTTGTGCTGAGAATTCCATATTGCACTTAACATATGATATTGAATGAAACCATTACTACTACTAATACTAATGAAGAGTTAGATAGGTAGCTTTCAATTATCCCCTTCAATTGATGCCAGTTAAGATAGAAATGTGTTGTTCAAATCAAACCTTTTCCTTACAAGATTCTATTAATTAAACTTAATATAATTAGTTGTCAAGTATCTAAAATATTAAACTACACTTTAAGGCCGTACAACAACTTGTAAAAAACTGGAAATAAGATGAAAATTAGTAAAGAAAAAGACAGATCACAATGGTGTAGCAAATAATAAAGTTATGTAAGATAAAAAAAGTGCTAAATGTTTTTAGGTATCATGAAAGCATCCATTTATTTTCAAATATTCTTTGGAAGACTTATTTGGATGATCTAGAAAAAAAGCATATTAATATTACGTTAGTAACTTCTTTCAGAAAAATTCTATGAATAAATGGAAGAAAGAAGTCACGAATGAAATTGACCGGTGATATGATCTTGACCAAACTAAGAGATAACGGGATAGTGATTAAAATAACTATATCATGTAACAAAACAGTTTGTCATAAGGTAAATTTTGAAAAAAACGTTCAGTGTAGCAAATTATAGAAAATAAAAATAGAAAAAAGCATCAGAAGTTCGTTCATAAATAAATGTTTTCCTACTGACCAACTCCAATAAGGTGAGTCATGGTCACAAAATTATCCACAAATAAATAGAACAACACAACATGAAACATAACGTAGTTCTGACTAGGAATAGTAAAACGAAAACATTAGAATAAAGAAGACAGGAATGAATAAGTACTGATTAGTATCCAGTTTCTAGATGGATGATTTAAACTTTATTCGTTTTAAAGAAAATTTCCATTACAAACTCAAACTAACGAGAGTCAATGGAGAGCAAGGCGGGATTGTTGGATGTCGTACTGTTTATTGTTGAAGGGTTTCAGTCGATGTTCATTTGTGAAATTTATAGTTCAATGAAATCATTTTATTTAGAAGATAAAAATTGCGGATGATGCGCCCATGTCACTGTAATCCATCAAATAAGAGAACAATATTAGAATTCGGTTCATCCGATAGGGAAAAGTACAGAGTTACGCAACAAAAATATACATTAGAACATCCTTTAAAATGCTGATCGAATTATTTTACTTTCATATGACCAACCAGAGTGTTGAAGATTAAGCAACTGTTTAAGCATTTCTTGTAACCAATCTAAAGTAGTACAAGGTCGTTGAAGTATACTATATAAATGTTCTGTATCTAACATTTGTTTAGTATAAACAATAAACTTATTTAAAAATTTATTTGTCATTTTCTTCGGTGAAGTTTTTTGAAATGTTAATGGTATAGTATTAAATTTATTGTATAAATCATTGTAAACAAGTTTTTGAAATTTACTCAATGACTTCAATTGGATCGGTTGACTACATTGACAATAGTGGATATTTTTTAATGATGACTTATTATCACTATCCAATAATGTTGTTACTGTACCAAAATTAATTAGACCAGAACACGTAATACATTTTAATTGGAAATCCTTATTACTATTAGCTATACTATTAGTAGTTGTAACGAGAGGTGACCAATTCTCTATACATGCTTGACATACACAGTGAAAATGATATTGCGATTGTAATGAGCTTTGACGTTCATTAAGAGAATGTACTGCATAATGCAAACCATAATTTCCATAAATAATTTCATTTTGTTTAATAGGTCGGATTGAATAAATCGCACATTGAAATTTATCAACTGTTACATTGGTAATATTTGGATCACATGAATGATTGATTAATGACAAAACTGGATATAAACAGTAGATATTTCAGTTGATGTCAATTTGTTTAAATCTATACCGGGTATTTTTTGTTGTTTATCACTAGTATTATTATTATGAACAGTTGTAGTATTTTCTGTAAAAATATATTCAGGTAATGATAATGAATGACCATTAGATGAGATACATTGAAGATGATGCAATATACATGTAGATGCCCAATCAAATGGCAGTAGTGTACAATCCAATTGACTATTATCATCAACGTCTCTGGTAATTGGATAACCACCGGCCTAAACAAATATAACAAGAAAAGTGCTATTAGAATGAATATAAGTTAGGAAGATCTGAAAAGTCTGTTCAACTTCGAAGGTAAATTACATCGTCGAAAAACTTTTGAAGGTGCTGTGTTCTCTGAGTTATATGGTTTATTTTGGAACTGTTGTTGTTATTCTAGACATCAGCTCAGATTTCGATTTCCACAAAACGTCACACACTCATTAGTGACTGATTCCGAGTAAAATTCACGAAAGTTTAGTCAGAAGAGTCCCTTATTAGTGGAGGCTAATCATGTTAAGCATGATACACAAATCACCACGGATGAAAATACTGCGTAGACATCGCGCTATATCACAAATGGGTTAGGGATGTTAATGTGAACACAATGGTGGTAGTGTAAAAGCAACTAATTTGTGTTTGTGTTAATAAGATCTAGTTCAGTTGGTGGAAGGACACAATGCAGTCACGTAATATTTATCAAGATGTAACAGTACTGAAAAGTTTACTGAAATATCGGATGAAAGAAAACCACCTTATGCTAACACAGTTGACAGTTATCAGCATACTTTAGGAAAAGATTTTGGATAAATCAAACTTCATCATAGTTTAGGAATTATTAACATAGATCTTTTTAAGGGTCTATACAAGCTTCTGAGTCGCCATTCTCCCAAATGTGTATTTATTGCTATAAAATCTCCTATTTTACATTGTTTCAATTAACTAATTATTTCTGTCAACCATTTGTATTTAAGAAGTTTCATTAAAATGTTTACAACCCTGCAGCAAATTTGACTACTAAGAAACCTAAAAAGCATCAACATGGTGGTTCGTACAATTTCATCGACCTACGTCCTTTGGAGAAACGAGAGAAAATCACTACAGAACACGCACATCAAATATATTGGGCCATGAAAAATAATGTCACGAGACCAAGAATGTTCGTAAAAATCTAAGAATGAATGATAGCTAATCAGACATCAAAACTTCATATACGTGTATTTCCGAATATTAACAAGGTAAATCCTTGCAAAACGAGAATCTTGTTGGAATTTTGTATCCAGATTTCTTTACTTTAAAAACATATATGGTATTCAACAAAGCGAGCTGATATGGCGAACAATAGCTTAATCGATTAGAGTGCGAAGGATATACGAAACTGATTTTTTTCAATCACAAGTGACACGCATCCATATCTTAAGGATTACAAGTGCCTAATTGCATAATACGGTATTTACACAGTAAGTCATCAAATCATTACCGATGAATACGACTTGATTCAGTTGACACGTGAAATGTCCGATATCAATACTGATCCCTGATCACCCTAGGTACGAGCCCAAACGGTTATTCAAAAGAAAATACTGAAAGTGAGAAAGATGTTTATTGACTGAACTGTTATGTAACCCTATATATATTTAACGTCACTAACAGTGTATGTCTCACTCTTTAGGAATTTAAACCATTTCCTGACCAACCACGTGAGCTCATTATCTGGTTGATTTGTGATTGGCCGATTGAAAAACTGTATTTGAATTACCTTGAAAATTAGAGTGGAAAGTAGCTGATCATGAATCGTAGAGCATAACAGTATTTGATCTGAATAATTTGTATACAAAATCCGTATTGGATGATTCCAAAAATACATTGACAACTTGTTACATGTCATAACATCCTCAAATTAATTGCTTTACATACTGGAAGGCAGAAGATTTCGACGAAAACGCATATCTGAGAGATTTATAGAATCATTTTTATAGCTTGAAGTATAAAACCTTCATTTAGATACACAAAACTGTTTCCTACCTAATAATATAGTCGAAGCACTTTTTTTAAATCTGGGTTATATATGTACAAATTAATCACCATTCTCTATAATTTACAACTACTATTTCAATTTCTAATTTAAGCTTCTTTTGATAATAGAATATAACATATCAGTAAAATCTACAAAGACAAATAAACAGAACAAATCAGAAACCAGGTATAATTTTAAAAGTATTTGGATTTAATGTCTATTATTCTATTGATAATAATTTCTGATAGTATATAGTGGAAATATACAACTTACTTCAAGACAAAAAGTTAAATAAACAGCTACAACAGTCCGTTGCCATAAATCGCTAGTTTTACGTTTAATTGAATTTGTTATCAGCCAATCAACAGTTGTATAATCATCCCAATTTTGTTGTGGAATAACACGATTACCAGTAAATGATGATAATTCTTCTTTATTTACTGGGCTTTCATCAATTTGATAAATTAATTTATTTAAGGAAATCTGAAATGGATATTTAAAATTTTCAAATTTATTCACTTTAGTAATTCACTCAATATATATGTAGGGTAATACCATTTAATGGGATCACAAACCAATCTTAGATAGGCCAGCATTGAATTTATTTATTTATCTGAACACATGAATACTGGTACAAGGGGGCACCAGATACATGTGCGCCACACAAATCTCATTTGATTTGTGTGGGGGCTGAAATACTGCCCAAACGCCAAAACCGAAGCAGGTAGTTTTCTTAGGCGAATACTCTACGATCATTTGACCTACAGGTCTAATCCACAAGACAGTGGAGTAGCGTAAGGAGATGTAGTCTCATGGTAGCCGGCGACCAACAATTGGTTTATACGCCATTTGTCTCCTCAGGGTACTGGAGCCCATGTGCACCATTGGTTTGGAATCAGGGTTTTCCAACTCCCTAGGTGGACTCTTTGTGTCCATCAACCCGGTTAAAGCGCCGGCATTGAAAACCGAGAATTATTATAAGGCCTTATCGTTCATATCGGGTGTGAGAGAGTTATTTAGAATAGATAATGGAAGGTAATTCAGCAATATAGTGAACTGACTGAAACTAGACATTAGCATCGTTGGATCCCGGTTCAGTGGTCTGGAGGTTAGGCGTTCGCGCGCGAGATCGAAGGTCCTAGGCTCGAGTCCTGGATGTAGGGTTGTGGATGAGCAATGCTGAGAAGTGCTATACTATTGCTTAAATATTTTCAATGATGGTGTAGCTATGATCGCTTCGTCATCCAAACTATGGAAAATTATAATGGTAATTGTTTTTGTATACTCAAACACGTACAAATATATTCTCCCTCCTAAATGACGTACGATGTTTGTGTACAATGCAACCCACTATAAGATATACGTATCTGGTACTCCATTTAATAACGAGCAATCCTGAATATTAACGCATGCTAGTTAAAAACATAACTGATGTGAATGTCTCATAGAACTGAGACAATTAGTGGTAAAGAATATTTAAATAAAATTAAGTCTGATGTTAATCAGTCCAAAGTCAGTCCTGAGTATCAAAAATGGAATAATACAAATCTATACCATTACTGATATAAGCATTATACTCGTTGAACAAGCTATCGGTTGTCTGGACTCAATAGATCAGCAGATAACACGCCATTGTTCGAAGCGATATGTGCTAGGTTTGAATTTCAATGTCAACATTAACACTAGGTATATCTATCTGATTACTCACAAATAGGACAAAACCCGAGTCCGGATTATTAACATAATAAAATTTACGTGACAGATCATTGATAAGTATACAGTTTTTTAACAATCCCAGCTGGAACAATAAATAAATATATTCTGGTAAAAGAACTATTCGAAACAGTGAATGAGAAGGTATGGTTTGCAACGAATTGACATTTGTTAGTGACAGAGAAACACAATATATCAATTTACCTTGATTAATCTATTCAAAATATTTGGAGCAGTTTTAGTTAAAAGAGAAAATGCAAGCCATGAAATATTCGGTCCACCAATTACATCGTCATCAGATAATTTATCAATGAATGACTTCAATTTCTTTATTGATACTGTCAAGTCATTTGACGATTTACTGCGTAATCGTTTCCAACCAGCATAATCTTCTATAATCAGTCGATCAACAAGTCCACATTCGAAACGATGGCACGGTAAAGATAAATCAGCTGTCGACTCTAAAGGCAATGATGTGTTAATATCAATCCATACTGGATTCCAAGCCTCTTGTTCACACAATTCACTACAAAAACCAACCTTCAAAAAAAGTACATCAAAACAGATAATAAAATTCTTATTCAAGTATGAATTATTAGTAAATGTTATTACAAGCTAACACTGGCTATCGATTAACTACCTAGATTAAGAAACGGGTTTTATCACCTCATTTTAAAGCATCTCAAATATACGAAGTTCGGATTTTCTGAACTGATACAGTAAGGTTATTATCAAATTCCACTTGTGGACATATCACAATATATATCACTAAGTTCGAATACATAGAGAACTGGATTTAGATGGAACGAAAAGACAGTAATATATAATCCACTGAGAGTTTGAGATTCATTATTATATGGAAAAGAGTTCGTACTTACGATGATTAAAACAAAAAAAAACAACTTTTCTATGTTTGTTTGCTCCACTACGGTTTTATGGATGAAGTTATGTATGTATAGAAAAACTAGATGAACTCAATAAAAATATGACAAAACAAGAACTTTAAGTAGATGTAGAAAAATAACTAAATAACTATCGAACCCCATTGACATAGGAATGTCCTGCTTCGGTTTGGACACCTGGGCAGTATTCCAGCCCTCACACAAATTGAATGATTTGTGTAACGCATATATATTTTTGGCGCCTCCTTGTACCGATGTTTATGTGTTTAAATAAATAAATATAGGAACCTATGATCACAAAGACATAGTGTACCTATTTACCTACACATATTTAAAGAATGTCTAACCCAAAAGAGAACCATACGGAATTATATTAAGACATTTGTATTAACAGTGTAGTAAGAGATATGATATCTAACACAGCATATCGTGCCGGTTCGGTCACAGAATAGAAAAGTGAAAATATTTTTAATGATGTAACACTAACTGATGATTTATTAAAAACTATCGAGAAAAAGTCGTTAAAAAATTATTACTGTAGGGAGATCATGGAGATTGTTGAATTTCATAGTTTACATTAAGTACTGATCTTAATTGAACTACCAATTAAGAGGAGGAAGCATTAGGGAGCTGGTTCATTCTAGTGTAATGAATGAATACTTGGTTAGAATAAACCAATCTATAGTTTAAAGCAAATCACACACTGCACTTGTAAAATATGAAAACAACACATTGAATAGACCATTTGCACATTTTCCTTGAATTGTCTCTTACAAACTCCGTCGTCCTTTCGTTCATGTTGTTACAAGAACTGCTTTTGCTTTTCTTCCTCTTCTCCTCATGTTCCTCTTTAGTCAGCAAGAATTCTACTTTCAATTCTTGGCACATACTACTTATATCTGTCCGTATAAATAGCACACAACACATTAGTATGGGGCCCTTAAATAATGTCCATTGTTGGAGAGTATTATACTAGAACATAACAGCTATTACGTATTAGTTCGAGATACACTAAAAGTATAAACTTTTGGATTCTTCCCTAAAAAAGTTAATGACGTGATGGAAAAATCGACAGGCAAATAATGCGTTAACATAGAAAAAACAGTAAAACAATTGATCACCTGAGTACAATTACGGCAGGGTATAGGATTGATACATCGTTTAGAGCAACGATAACAATTGAGTAATAATCTATTGTAATGAAGTCTACAAGAATACGGTTTATCTAGTATGAGAAGTTCACCTGAAAGAAAACAATTGTTAGCAAGCTGTCAATTGAACCTGAAAAAATCTGTTAACAGACTAAATTGAATAATAATAATAATAGACCTGAACTTACACTTTTTACGAGCATTAAAATAATGGAATGATAATAATTGACTAGGTTGTTGATATGGACAAAAATCGGGTTTGATTTTTTAAATTCTTTGGGACATCCTCCAATCACATAGTTTGTAAACGATTCCTGATCATATTGATTTTCATGTTCAAAATTTTGTACTTTATTTAGCCGGAAATAATTAATGCTGTTGATCAATTGCTTTCTCTCTAGGTGTTCGTTTTTCAGGAGCTTTATATTAGGAATTCGAGCTCCTGGAAAGTTACCCGTCGACCGGACCGTATTAATACTTATTATCTGTAAATAAGCATTCTATTCACTAGTTGACCAACCTAGCACATGTGCATTGTCATAAAACTTAAAAACTAAACTCGATAACAGCTCTGGATCTCGGGAGGATGAAGTTCAGCATGATTGTAGGTATGATTTGTGGAGGCTTGATCTAGTGGTTATTATAATCGACTTTCAACTAGGAGGTTGTGTTCTTGAACCTTGCTCCACTGCAGTTTAAGTGGCTAAAAAATATTATTAGCCCTCTTACACAAAACGTGCTGTCTAAAGCTGAATAAATAAACTTATGCTCATTACTTAAATACCCGAACGTATAAATTACTAGTAAATGTGAATAATTCAAAAATCTAAGTCTCCTAGAAATCAATCCTCCACTTATAGCAGCTAAAGTTCTGTTAGTGAAAAAATCACTGGTGAAAGTAGTATTATATATCAATATTGGTTGCTATACAGTGAAATAATAGCGATGATTCAGGTAAACTACAGCAAATTATTTTTAGCTATAATGATGGCTGTTTCAAACCAATATATTTGTTTCGATGATCTAAATTGATATAAACAACGATGAAATGTAAGTTTTTGCAAATATTAATCGGGTTCAAATAAATGCTATTTGAACACATAGGAAGACAAAAATCGAAAACTTAATAATTTGATCATAGAAAAAGCTGTTTAAAACTTTTGAATTCTTGTTATTAGAATGACAACAATATTATTATTTATATAATTGAGCTAGACTTTTTACTAGAACTACAGGAATTCCATCTTGAAGTTAGTTACTATTAAGCACATGATTATTATTAACGAGTAATTACTTACTTCCAACCACCACCTATCTGGACAGGTGTTGTCTGGTGTGGACTGGAAGAAAGCTAGAGGGGGCAAACCGAAACGCAATAACAGTCCATGGACTATGGAAATGAACAGTGTTGATATATGCACACTATACAGTCGAAGTCCATGCAATTATTATAACAAGTAGTTGGAGACCCTGGGTGGCATAGCTCAAAAACCTTCACAATGGAATAGATGTATTCACACTTTATCTACTCTTAAACCCTGAGTTCAGAAATCTTCTTACACTAACTTCTATTTTTTCTTTGCTTAATCTTTTCTACTACTGCTGATACTATTAATACTTAATGATTTTGCCTAGCTATGTTAATATGATGTGACAAGTGGAACAGATGAATTATGTCCCAGGTTTAAAAATAATACAGTATACGAACCTGGCTGAATATTTTTTGTCGCTACGATATGCCAACCAAATTCATCATTATAATTTAATTTCACAGCTGGTGGATCTTGTAAATGGAGAGAGCGAAAAATGCTTGGATGCAAATTATGATCTGTGATATTACTGCCATTATTAGGATTATTATAATTCTTTGTAATGATCGTTTGAGTGTTTTCATGCTTCACTATTAACGATTTCGCCTCATGTACAAAGTACAGTATAACTGAATTATCAATCAATACTTCTTTTTTTTTATAGTTGAACAGTCTTTTATTCCCTTTTGCATCATTTCATTTAAATTATTTGGAATAGTTAAATTTTCAGATTTCATATATTCTACACAGTTATTGAATTCAGTTAATGCATCTTTAAAGAGTTTCAGCGAAATAAGACTTTGTGCACGACGTATAAATAGACGTGGACGACGATCTTTAGGGAAATTATACTTTTACAAAGAAAACACAGTAAAAAAATAATAAACAGCAATTGAAATATATATGACAAGTCATAAAAAGTACAATCATTGATTGATGATGAAACTAAGAGAATGACTAAAATAGGATGGAAAAAAGTATAGGTAAAGAGAGATATTACAAACAAATCAATTTTAGAAGTTATGATACTTATGAAAAATTATAGCTTAATTTAAACAGTATCAACCTTTTAGTTGAATGAGAGTGATAAATAATTTTTAACTGAATTTTAATTAATACTCTAGGTGCAAAAATTTTAAAAAAAAACCAGTGAATCGTGACAAATATTAACAGTGTAATCATATCAAAACATACATGTAATTCACAACACAAATAACAAGTAATTACAAAGTTGAACAAGATCACTCTGTATTTTTCTACTGTGACAACATATAAAAGTTCTGTGAATCTAATCGTTAAAACAAATATGTATTTCACTAAAATATGTGAATAGAAATGAAGAGATAAACTGTAAAAGAAGGAATAGCAAAAGTTAGTACTGAATCCAAGATTTTTCAACAAATAAGTCTCATTATTTAAATGATTAAGCCAATCAATGGTGTGGTGATGTTTATCGATTGATTTGATCACATTGTATAAACATTCTTCTTATCTCAAATTATTAGTTCTATCTACCAGTAGAACTGATATGTTTATATGAAAGTTTCTTTTTTTTTTGAATTATTCAAGTTTAACGTAATGTAGCAACCTGTTTGTATTTCCAATAAATTTGTTAACCAGCTCCCAATATGACTTAATAAATCACTAATACGATTCTTTTCCAACTAAGTTGTAGGGAGCGAATTAACAGAGAAAGTTAACCATTTCACTTATCTTAGGAGTTTTATGAACTTAAACGGGTAGGTAAAGGGGAAATCTCAATATGGATACAAAAGGCTCGCGCAGCTCTTGTCAACATTCACCACCTACAGCCTATTGAAAATTGTATGGAGTAGCATATTATCTAATATTCATGAAGCCACTAACTTTTGGTTTGAATCGCATCATTAGATGCAGGCTTTTTAATAAGGCTATACACAAATGTCCCATAGGTCGAAAATGGTCGTAGGAATAAAAATGAACTAACAATATTGAGAGTAAAAGTGTGGAAACTTATCAACTCATCAGATTTAAAATCTAAATGTTTAGGATAGTTAGGACACACATCATCTATCTTCGTACACTACAAACTTTAGTTTCTTATAGTAAAAAGAAGAGAACTCAAGTAGAAGAGCTAAACTGTAATAAAGCCAGAACAAAGAAGGAATTAAACAAATTAAACTCGACAGAAATGAAGAACTAACTACAGAATCTTAATAACTTACGAATTGTAATCTTGTGAAAGCTAGAAGTATAGAAACACAATGTACATTTATATTACAACAAGATAGAAAACTAACCTAAATCAAAATTAGAATGATTTAGTTATCGAAAATTTAGTACTTAAGACGCTAGACTGCAATTACATGAATATATATGCTGAAATATACCATATTATATAAAAATCAATCGTGAATAGGCTAATATTAAGTTGAAATGTTTCGCATACAATGCCTTGTTTGCTAAAGGCTGTATCCTTAAGTAGTTACGTTTAGTTGCATATTCGTCAACTTTAAAATTTAGTATCACGAACATTTTATTTTGTGATTGTAATTTACAATACACCAGTACTAGAAAAAAGTTAGTCGGCAAAGAGAAGTGTAAACACTAAATGTATGTTTTTTTCTATAACTTGGAAACTATGAAAATACATTTAAGCATTATCAGTTAATCTACGTTGGTTGAACATAATACGATAGTGAAAGATGCTTAGAATCAATTTACTGAAATGTGTCTATAAGGTTTCGCAAATTTGCAGCATTGGAGAAACTAGTATTCCACCAGTTATCGGAACCCACTTCACGTATATTTCTGCAAATGGGAACATAGCTAGCAAGTGTCGTATAACATAGGTCTAATGTTTCCTGAAAACTGACTCTATGTATCTGAATTACAAACCGTAACACAAACATCCTGAATTATTTTATAAACGTGTTATAATCTCTTTCTTACGGTATGACCCAGCTATTCCTATTGCTTAATATTCTTGGACACCAAATCACTCGACAAGTCCCCAAATCAGAACACGGTTGAACAGGAAAGAGATTATATTCCAAATAACAAGGTTAGATGGAAGTAAGATGCAAGTAAGAAGCACAATAGAGAAAACTTTAGTATATTTATAGTTTTTACATGAGAAGATTCTAGAGTATTCTCCAACTATCAACTAGTGCTGATTGGATAAGAATTAGCCAATCAGCGTGCACCAAAGCAATCATGCATTGAGCATGCTTTAATCCAGTCTATGTCCCGCTAACAAAACGGAACATCAGATTATTAAAATCTAACTCCAATGAACTATTTGCAAAACACAGTAACTCGCAGTTCGGATTTGATATAAAATGATGTTATCTTTGGTCAGGAGCGTTTAAAGACAAATCAGGAAAGAGAGAACAATGAAAAAATTTATTAGCTACTATTACCGGTGTTGATTACAGTAAAAGCTGCAAGGTTATTTGTAAACATTATTTAAGTTGTTCTAAAGGTTAAACGCTTGCCACGAAATATGAAAATCCTGAGTTCGATCTCCGGTGTTGTTGTGGATGCTTACCGCTGAGTAGTCTCATAGTTAGAAGAAGCAACTATCCAATACGTCTCGACTTCTAACGGTTATCTGGTAGATCAGTCTGTGATGCAAACTGAGAAAACTGTGTTAAACTAAATGAGAAGATTCTTATTATAAAACTTAGGTCTAAATCTTCCTAACTATTCCTTTCAATCACTTAACTTTGGAAATAATGCATTACAAAATCGGGTTCTTAGAATAGTGAACACGCAACAAATTGATTGATAAAACTCAATAAAAGCACAAGGGATAACTTAGACATGAAATTAGTTGCCACTGAGTGACCAAATATTATAAGCAGCATTCAGAAACAACTAACTTCAACCGCCAAGAGAGTGGTACTACAGTTAGCGTGTAGCGTTGGACAGATATGGCGAGTCGACTAAAGAAGCTAAAAGCCTTCATTGACTGAGATAGTTAGGATATCTGTTACACATATCTTCTGATTTCATTGATCTCTCTTACCTGATGGGGTTGAAATGAGGTGTGACAACTTGAATAGATACACATCTGAGCGAGATTCTATGATGGCTACGATTAACAATATTATTCGACCGTCAAATATAATAAATTCCAGGATTAAAATCCCAATTTTGAGATCTGAAAAGCTAGCTAGTATATATATATATGGTAAAATAAATCCCCTTAGTAAACTGTTAAGTAGGTATATAGTTACAGAATATAAGAATGCTTTTTTTCTACAGAACTAAGTACAATACATATTTTCGGTTAGCTTAAAAGTCTACTAAAGTGTTCACTTATGTACCACTCGGTAACAGTGCACCATTTTTAGTTAACAGTGCACAAACTAGTCACAATCTGAATACGAAAAATGTTGAGTGCAAAAACTGTACAATCTCAATTTCACAGTAATTATTAAACATGAGTCTATACAAATATGCAGTAGGTTCTTTTTATATTTGAATAGGAATTTAAACCAGTTACATAAAAAACCCTACTTTTTAATTGGGTTCATGAGTTTAATTGAATTTCATAAACTTACTTTAATAGCCAGATCAATATCTTGTAATACTGCTTCATGAACACCGATACGACTTAAAACACATGACCGATTACCATAGCCTAGAGCTTTTTCTTCAGAACTGCTGGCAAAGAAAATCGCTTCAGTGTAGTAACGAAGAGCTAAAGATAAATTATTAATACGCCATGCTTCATTTCCCTGTTCACGTTTTTGTTTAGCAATGGAATTATTTTTCACAGCTGATGATTGGTCAGAGACTAACAGAAAAAATAAGTAATTATACAATAAAGCAATATTATTTTAAGGCTGACAAATGATTTTAAAATATAGAATAGATTAATTTTGGCTAGTAGTGAAAAGTAAAACGCCCATTTCGTCTTATTTTGGACCCGGATGGGACGAAATATGTGGCAAAACGTTTGTATCTAGCCAAACGGTACAGGATACATATACGCTAACGAAGACTGATCAAGCTGAAGTTCTAAATAACGACAACAGGATCATTTAAACTCTTGTTAACAATAATATAGCTTAAAAATACTTCTTATCATGGACTGATACTAACCAAAAGATCCCAATAGAAAAGGAAACACTGAATAGTTATTTTGTTCAGTATTGGATTTTTCAGTCATACTGAAATGTATCAGACTAATAACGAAAATTGCAAGTAGCCAACAGAATTCTTTAAAAAAAACTAAATAAACCTAAGCTATTCTGTTCACTTTGTTGCTTTTACTTTGTTCAAACTAATGAAGAGAAGAGATTTTATAAAATGATAATAGTATTGTATAACGCACTACAATATGAGCAGCTGATAATAAGGGTGTACATTCTACTTATTATTCACTAAACTTTAAATTTAGTTTGGGATTTGGTCAGTCAGCATCAACGTAGAACTTCGTACTTATGTACATCAATTCGAGTTGTCATACCACATTAGCACAGAGATACAATTGTCGATTCAAATCCCATAGTGGTAGAGGTAGTAAGAGTATAAGCAGTAATCGGAAAGATTAGGGTTTGGAGATATTATTCAATGAGTAAAATCCAGTGAAATATATTTGAAAAGAGAAAAAAAGGGATATGAAGAATTCAAAAGACTAGAATTTGGGAGAGCACAAAAAGTAGATGCACGTGAGCCATTGCAAACGATTTTGAGCAATGTCATTCAGGGTCTCTAACCATCGGTTGCCATCATCTCGCGGTCCCCAACCACGCAGTCTACACCTACCAACATAGCACAGTTCACTTGTCAGTGACTTCATGGATTTGCGACATGTTTTGGTCTGGCCGCCCGTAGCTCTCTTCCAACCTACTCCTACACCAGAAAACATCGCACGTCGAGGCAGTCGGTGATTGGGCATACGTAACACGAGTCCCAGCAATCTAAACTGATGAAGTTTCACTACTTCATCAATTGATTTGGCATCCTTACCTAGTACCCGTTTCCTAGCAACTGCATTACTTACTCGGTGGTCCCAGGATATACGAGCAATGCTTCGAAGACACTTATGATCAAATACTAGTAACCTTAGAATATCCCCTACTCTTACCGGCCACGTCTTGGTAGAAAATCACTTTTTGTTTCATCGTATATATCAAAGGTGTACGTTGCAAATAAGCTTTGGATGGGCTTGAAAACAAACACAGGATGAAGTCCAACTATTCCTGAATTTAATTCCAAAAATGTTCATGAATGTTGAGAGTTGTGAAAAAGGCAACGTTGGTGTTTTGAATCATCGACATCCATCACCTTCCCGAACGACAGAAATGTATTTTGTAGTTACAAACATACGAAATTCTTACATAACCACTTGCAAAATAAAGATCATTTACTTGAGATTTTAAATTGTCTAAGAAATGGCATTGACATAAACTTTTTGACACGTTCATAGTCTGTTTTACATTCTTCAAACCCGGGAAGCCAAGGTAGATCATACGAGGGTGGACTCATCTCTACAACTGACTCCATTACAAGATCACAAAAGCGATATAAGTCTGTTGGATTCGGAGAAACCATTTTGTCTACAAAACAAAGTACATTATTATTTGGTGACACTGAAAAACAAGTAAAATAGTATCGCAGAAAAATTTGCCTTATACTAGTTATTTACGAACACACTAATGCATACATATTTATTTATTTAAGCACATAAACACTGGTACAAGAAGGTATCAAACAGATATGCGCCATAAAAATCATTCAATTTGTGTGAGGGCTGGAATACTGCCCAAACACCAAAACCGAAGCAGGTGGTTTTCTTAGGCGAATACTTCACGAGCATTTGACCTGCAGGTCTAATCCACAAGACAGTGGAATAGCGTAAGGAGATGCAGTCCCATGGTAGCCCGTGACCAACAACTGGTTTATACGCCATTTGTTCCCTCAGTATACTGGAGTCCATATGCACCACTGGTTTGGAATCAGGCTTTTCCAACTCCCTTAGGTGGATCCTCCGAGTCCACCAACCCGCTTAAAGTGCCGGACATTCACATTTCGTAAACAACAGCAATGCCGCGAGAAGGCAGTGAGTATATATATAATATATATATATATATTATATATATATATATATAAAGTATACTTAAGGAAAGTTAATACTTGATCAAATACATTTAAACATATTAACCGGCCAAAAGGCTTACAGCAAGACAATGATTACATGTAACATGGAATGCCAAAAGGCAGCATCGTTATTTTAGAGTAGGTAAGCAGTTATTGAAGAAACATATTTATACTGTTTCAAACAATAGCAAGAAGTTATCATTTCAGGGACACTGACAGTCACCAGTGAGGTGTGATTACAATCTCAAAAGAGTTTCGCTTCGTGTTTCAAGAGTCTCAAAGAATGAATGATAACTTTAGACTAATCAGCTTGTAATCTCCGAGTATTCATTGGAAATATGAGGAAACAAGGACTTTTGATATAGCGTCAACCAAGGTGGGTTCGAATCTGTTAATATCTTGTGAGATCTAAAGCAAAACGTACTGGTATCTCATGGTTGAGGATCATATGCCAGTTATAGGCGCACCTTAACAACCACCTCCCAAAATCCAAAACAATAGCTTTGAGATAACTAGTAGAAAATGTACTTTTCTAATTTGGCTAACAAGGTGCCAGTGAGTTTAATATTTGTCACTAGCATTTGTCCATATTCGTAACTTGAACTATCGAAAACAAATTTTGTAAAAAATGCGAAATATTGGTTTCATATTTACTATGCTTAAATTTGTAAAGGTCTGCGTCTGTTTTATATGACTTAACGTTTTCTGTTTCATCTATTTAGAGTTGCGAAGATAAATCAGTTCAGATATAAATTGTAAGTATGAGAAATAGTGAATGCTAAGTCAACCAAATGATACGACTGTGTAAACATTGATTTCAACTCAATCGAGTAAAACAAATGTATGCTAGTATCAGTCATATTAGATTTACAATCGTATACCGCTATTTAGAAATTCAACCATTTTTTTAACCATATAATTCAGTTACGAGCAGAAGCGGGCAAAACCGTCGTCTATACAGACGTTTCAGGATGGTTGCTGTGGAGATAAAGTAGGATAAGCTAGAAATTTCTCAGATGGATGTTCAATATCAAGACACGGTTACTGGAGAACTAGGCAAAATTGAAGTGTGTAACAAGTAACTCAATTAAGATAGTATCCAACTTTTAAAAAGTAACTTACATGGTGTAATTAACATTCATTAGGAAATAATTCTACCACCAGTTGCTTCTAAAAAATTGGTTACCATCATAATGTGCGGACTATGGAAAATATGTGAATGGTGGAGTTGGATGTAGTTACCTGGGTTTTGTTCAGACTAAGAATACATTGGTGCCAAGTTGAGAAAAATGTTCGGGCACCACCACATGTATTGCATGAGAACAATGACTAGTATTATACATGAATGTGATCCTTAATTTGAAACCTTTATAAGGGAACAAGTTAGACAAAATAAGGTGATACAACCAATCCTTCTACCCTATAATGTTTTAAACAAAGAGTATATTGATTACAGGGTTACCAACTCTTTCGGTTTGTATTTAACTTTACCAACAGTAACACTCTACAAGCATAAAATTAGAAAGTTGTGTAATAGTAATGAAAACTATGATGGAACTTAATGGAAACTACTTAATATAATAACCTGGAATATTTATTGTCCACACAACGTGTGAATAAAAACAGATAAACGCGAAATAAACACGTAAAATTTCCTACAACAAAGGTTCATGAAAGACAATGATTCCTTTGGAATAGCACTTTATTCACATTAATTCCTAAGTACACAAACATATATATACACTCAAAAATAAATTTACGAAATATCTGATTCCACATTTAATTTACATACATATATGAAAGGCTCACAAACACAGAGAGAAACAAAATTTCAAATTTAATTGAGCATAAAGCTGGAAATGCAAAATACTAAGTGAAAAACTACAAAAAATTTAATGGTAGAGTAAAAGACAGAAATAAAAGAAAATATAATAGAATCTAGTTAGGTGATACATCCAGATGACATTGAACTGGTAGGGCTACCATTACTGCCACCAACGCCTATGGTACTATTATTAACTATTGTAGAAGTATTATCAGTAGCTGTTGATGTACTTGAAGCAACTTTAGCGTCTAAATAGAAAAGAATGTAAGCTGTATAAGAAGATTTCGAGGTTTCCGTAGACGAACCAAAAAAGTCTTCAATATTGGTGCGATGGATTTTCTAGACGGAAAAGGAGTACCACATTATTATACAGAATTTAAATTTAAATTATATGCGTACACTTATGGTTTTCAAAGAAATATAAAAAGTAATTACACTTGTATACAGTATGAGTTGTGCTAATCTATGAGGGGCTAAGAAACTACAACAATTTATTACATTTTATCACATGGAATGAAATTTAAAAGTGTAACCCGGTGAGTGGCATATGAATAACTGGTTCAAAGAATAACAGATCCCGTTAAGAAAGAAAACGCAAGCCAATTACCATATGAAGTCTGACCACTAGACCAAGAATGATATTTACGATGGACAGGAAATATCATCTGGTTTATAAGACTAAAATAGATGGAATGTATGTGAAGCCTTTACTTAAACAAGAGCTAAGAATTTGCGGGTGTTGGATGAAAAGAAAGTATTTACGTGTGAATGAGTCACCAAGCAGTAAATATTCAGGTTAACTGCGGAGTTCAAAGTGGAAAAGGTAGGTAATCCGGGTGCAGAGAATATAATATCAAATTCAACCCCATAAGATACAAATCTTCATTACCACGAAATCTGATAAGGTAATTAAACTGAATCTATTTTGTCCATAGAATATTAGGATACCTGGCAAAATCATGGTTAACAAGCGATGGTATCGAACGGTAAAAAGATATGAAATTAAACCATGAAATTAGAGTTCCCCTTAAAAGAATTTGTATGTTGGAATTAAGCATTAGAAGTATTGGCTTTGTATTTAGAAACACTAGAATTCCAAACATTGAGTCACTGTTTTCAGCTGTGATCCACCTTTTTTGATGTGGCATCTGAATATCACAGGTACTCAAATAGTTAGTGAGGTAATTAGGAAATCGTGAACGATGTAACCCAAACAGCGACCTAACGGTACAGATCTTTTTTCCAAGGTGGTTGGAACTTTTGGCTCATAACATCATGGGCTATTTTCCTTTTAGGGATGGTATCGATCACCCTATGAACCAGAAAGCTTAATTGGACAAATAAAAAAAATCGCTTGAAGCTAGTTATAGCATTCAAGAATTGGAATATGAAGCTTACTTCAACTAGTTCGTCATCAAACAAAAACCATAATCCATGAGACTTCACAAGTGTTACATAATGTCCACGATTTGGTCCAGAGCCTGAGTGAACGACAACAGCCATAAGATTATATAGACGATCATCATTAGATGAGTCACTAGACTGTTAGGAAAATAAGTAAGCGTGAGAAAATCAACTGAATCGTCAATAGATGTGAGGAATAAAAAACAATTTATATATTATGAAGCCTAATAACAGTTTATGGACTCTAAAGTTTACACTTCATCGTGCTGGTGTGATATAGAAGCTTGGATCGACTCATTTGTGTTATTTCCTACATCAACTATGACTGACCAATGTCTAAACTGTTCCTAAATAAAGCAGTTATAATCATTAAGTTAATGACCCCATGTTGTTCCGATCAAGGATAATGAAGTGTGGAAATGTTTATTTATTTATTTATTTATTTATTTATTTATTTATTTATTTATTTATTTGAACACATACGTATTGGTACAAGAGTGCGCCAAATATATATGCGCCACACAAACAATGAGAATTTAAAGGGAAGGAAAAAGAAAAAAAGGTAAGGAGGGTAAAAAAGAATAAGGAAGAGATTGGTGTAAGGTAGTGTAGTAATAATAGTGGTAATAATGGGGGAACGGAAAGGTACAATCACAAGAAATCCTTCAGTTAAGGAAGATGCAACCATTCTTTTTATGAAGGAAGTAAAAGAAAGTTACAGCAGGATCGCCACTGGCTTCTATTCTGATCCATATCTGATAACGTCTCTAGCCACTGTGTTGCGCTATCTCTCGGACCCCAGCCAGGGAGTCGTGAAGGGCCAACACAAGCCAGTCCTTTACAGCTTTCATATCACGACACCATGTCATATACTGATCTCAGTGGTCTAGTGGTTAAGTGCTCGCGCGCGAAACCGGTAGGTCCTGGGTTCGAATCTCTGCCCCCGAATGCCCTGGTATGGCCGAGAGCGGGGTAGGTTCGCCCTCCATCTCGAAATACTCTCACACGGCCACGCGTATATAGCCTCTACCAGGGAAGTCCTACTCATTGCCTCCTCGTGGCGGGGGTGTTGTTTACGAAAATGAGAGAACGAAAAGCGAATGTCCGGCGCTTTAACCGGGTTCCAAATCAATGGTGTACATGGACTCCAGTATCCTGTGGAAACAAATGGCGTACGAACCAATTCCTTGGTCACCGGCTACCGTGGGACTGCATCTCCTCACGATGCTCCACTGCCTTGTGGGTTAGACCTTTAGGTCAAAGGCTCGGGGTATGGCCCCCTAAGAAAACCACCTGCTTCGGTTTGGGCACCCGGGCAGTATCTCAGCCCGCACACAAAAACATGATAAACTATCTACTTATGAAAGTGTGAAACTGTGGTATTCTCAAACACTAGGCTACATAAATATAGAATAATCTTCGTTTACCAGTGGAAATTTGTGAAAGCAACTACATGAAAATCACAACAAACACAAATCTTAAGAGAAACTAACCGTGTTGAATAATCTTAATTCCATAGGGAAGGCGACTCTGTAGGACAACTTGATAAACCGATTGAGATTTTCTGAATACTTGAATCGCTTCAAATGCAGGGCCAGAAGTAAAGGTGGCTTTTTAATGCGCATCCTATGAAAGATAACAAGAAACCTGGTTGATGGTGGTGAAAATCACAAAGGTAAATTAGCCTAGGAGTGGTTACTTTTAACGATACTATTTAAGTAAGGAGAAACCCAAAAATTACTAGAGATGACAAGCTGGAAGGTCTCAATTTCACCGGGTCTCCAAAATTTTAATCTACGAAGAATCCGAACGGTATCCAGAGGTATGGTTTCTGACTGCTGAGGAATCTCTGTGCTAATAACATTTCACAGGTGATTGCGATTTCGTTTAGATTTTGCCCTGGTTGAATACGTGACGGCTGAGAATAAATTAACTTATAGGTAGTTGGTTATAGTTTATGCAATAAGAGTATTTAAAAGCTTTTGTATCCCACTTGGAATGAAAACACCTTAATTTTGAGTACTAAGTTTTCTGGAGAAGTTTAAGTTTAGCAAAACCCTCATTCTCTTTCAATACCAAATGATGCAATGTACGAGTACAATGTGTAACGTGTATCTAGAAACCAAAGGCGTTCGTAAGACAACATGGATTACGTAATGTCACTTAGTTATCAAGCTCTGGTATTAACAACATACACTGTAATCTTTGACAATAGAAACACCGACTAAATTTGGATGAACTATCGAACGGCCCGTATCCAAATAAGAACAACTTTACTAATTACACGTATGGAGTGAGCAGGTATGTCGACTTAGTTAAAGTTATGTAAACAAATGTTGGTAAAGAAATCACACATGAACTCACCGTCTCTGAGCTTCTTGCTTGCAACGACAAAATTCACAGTAATACTTATTGTCTGAACGCATTGTTTCAGTATCGGAAAAGCAACGGAGACAATAAGATATATCAACATTTTCTCCGACATCAACTGATAGATCGAGGAAATTTTCCTCTTTCGTGCGAACATTATCACAGTTAAGGCACCTAGTTTCATTGGTCAAGCTTCCTTGGAAGATCTCATGAATCCAATTACGGCCACTATGCTTTCGATTACTTTCTGAAACACCAGTCATTTCACAATCACTAGGATCTTCAGCATCTTCTACTCCGGTTGGTTGTTGTTCGGCTAAAAATCTGGTTTGTGATACGTTGATTACCTCTTATTATGTCGGCTATTTTGTTGAGAAGATAATTAAGAAACTCATGAGCATCCTGTTGTAAATAGTTATCAAATAATCCTAAAGTAGGAGTGGAGCGTAAGAATAGATCATACTACCATTCTCCCGCTTCAACTTTTGTATGAATTTTTAGGGCGCATCTGACCCACTCTTCTTTGCTGAGATACGACTGAATAAAAGAGATCCGAAAGACATGTCAGTAGAGTTTCCTTTTTGGGATTTTTCGCTCGATCATTGTATTGTAAGACCTTGTCTCGAAATGGCTTACAGAAGAACAAGGCCTGTATGACTGAATTGCAGTAGCACGTATTTCCGAACTACGAAATTTATGTCAAGATGGATGTGCTTACGTTCACCAGCCCAAAATATCGTTCTCCACTGAGAAGCTGATCACTGGCAATCTCTTTCTCTAACTGAGAGCTGCTGAGCCCCTGACAACATGAATATAAAGTCAAAGTAAACTTACCATTTTTAAGCAATTAATACGAAGGAAAGACTCCAGAAACCTCATAATGAAATATCATCATGATTTTAAAATAAAATAGTTGTAGCGCTAGAATCTCTCTTCTTCAAGTGCGCCGTATGCCGACCAATTTCCAATACTGATACGATGAGCTAACTTTCTATTCTCTGAGAAGATTTAGAACGATACTCTGACTTTTATTGTTAAAATCCTTGATCTTTAACCCAATGAACTGTTTTTAAATGAAATCGAATTCAGATTCAGATTTGTGCAGTAAGGACAGAAGGTCTACAGTCTATTTTATTTCTTTTCAGTGTGCTTTTATGAGTGTCCAGCTTTCTCTTGAACGGATCAATTGAAGGTGCTGACACCACTGCTTCGGGTAGCAGGTACCAAGAATTGATGACTCGGTGCGAAAACTTGTATGCTGCGGGTACTTTGTAGCGGTAAATAAATCCCTAAAATAAATAGCTCTGTAAGTTTTCGACATTGGATGCTGACCATATGTTTTAGTGGACTCATCTAGCTGAAGGCGCTCGGTCAGGCATCCGCACCAGATCACGTGTAGTAACGCCGTGCTCAACATCAACCACAATCGCTAGCCAGATTAGATCAGAGAATCCCGGTATATTGGTCATCGCCAAATATACTCTTCCGATCTCCTCGACTCTGTCTTTTGATTTCTCTTGGTGGGAACGAAATATCTTAGAAGGTGTTACTGGTAGAAGCGTTGTCAAACACTGAATACCTGTGACATCATCATTGGTGAGACCGTCGTGATCTGGTACACCTTATTGCAACTGTGAGTCTGTTCCTTTTTGGGATTTTTATATATCATTGCCTTATTTTTTATTTTTTTTAAACATTGTGATTTTTTTTCGTGTTTTTCTTGGATATATATATATTTTTTCCCCTCGTTCATTATCGTACTTCATATTTCATCATGACTGAACAGACACCTAAAGTACTCAAGCTTAAGACCTTGTCCCCACCTTCGTTTCAACTGATGCCTTTCTGGCCCGACAACATCGAAGCCTGGTTTTGCTACGCAGAAGCCGACTTTTCCGAGCACGGCGTGATCGACACACGTGCACAATTCCTCGCAGTAGTCAAGGCACTGCCGCGGGAATTCAACAGGTACGTAACACCTAGTATGTTTACTAGTGATGTTTCCGATCCTTACGAAATCTTAAAACGCTCGATTCTTAAACGAGGAGACCTAACCGATCGACAAAGGTTAGATCAACTCTTCAACAATATCGACCTGCAACACGGTTCTGCGACGGACATGTTGCAACGGATGAGAGAGGTTATAGGCCCAAGAACTTTCGACGAAGGTCTATTCAAACAACTCTTCTTGTCAAAACTTCCCCAACAGGTGCAAGCAGTTCTGGTCTCGTTCCAGAACAACGCCTTAGACGAACTAGCTGTATCTGCCGACCGCATTCTAGAAATTACGAAACCTTCTACTACCGAGGTATTTTCAGTCAAAGAAAAGCCTCACACGACTCAGAATGACATAACCGACTTATGTCACACACTCACGCGTTATCTTAGTCTTCGTACCGACCGTAAGAGATCGCGCACACCACGTAGAAGCATTTCTCGTAAGCGATCTGTCTCTAGACCACGAGAGACAGATAACCCCGACTGGTGCTGGTATCATAACCAGTATGGAAAGTTTTCCAGAAATTGCAGAAAACCCTGCAATTTTCCCAACACGAAACCGACTGATTCGGGAAACTTCCAAGCCGGCACGCGTTAACGGCAACCGTAGCCGGCGAACAAAGCCGTCTGTTATTCGTCACAGATGTGACAACGAGAGTTCGCTACCTCGTCGACACTGGCGCAGAAGTTAGCGTTCTCCCAGCAAATCCTAACGACCGACTTCACGAATCGACCCTAAACTTACAGGCGGCAAACGGAAAACCGATCGCTACGTATGGCAAAAGGTACGTTTACCTTAACGTGGGTTTACGCAAACCCATCCACTGGATTTTCGTCGTTGCAGATGTTTCTATGCCAATCATTGGTATGGACCTTCTACAACACCACAATCTGATCATCGACACTCGCAAACGGAGGCTAGTAGACGGAAACACTAATTTGTCCGTTTGCGTAACTTCTTTTACTGGTTGTAGAGTATCCCCAGTCACAGTTAAACATATGATAGACCCACTCTATCAACCACTACTCGATAAGTACCCTGGGATACAACAAACGCAAACGAAACTACCGTGTGTAACCAGCAATGTTACACATCACATCACGACTACAGGACCACCTGTATTTTCTAAAGCACGACGACTAGCTCCTGAAAAGCTAAGGTTAGCGAAAAACGAATTCGATCACATGATGGACTTAGGAATCATACGACCGTCAAGTAGCCCATATGCATCTCCGTTGCACATGGTCCCTAAAAAGGACAGCAACGATTGGCGTCCAACTGGTGACTATCGGCGATTGAACGCGAAAACCATTCCCGATCGTTACCCGTTGCCTCACATTCACGATTTGACAGCTACCTTGAAAGGTACAACTGTCTTTTCGAAAATCGACTTGGTTAAAGCGTATAACCAAATCCCTATGGCTACTGACGACATACCGAAAACAGCTATCATAACTCCCTTCGGACTCTATGAATTTTTGCGAATGCCTTTCGGTCTAAGGAATGCTGCTCAAACATTCCAAAGATTCATAGACGACGTTTTTCGAGGTCTCAACTTCGTACACGCGTATGTTGACGACTGTCTAATCGCAAGTCCGGACAGAGAAACACATCTCAAGCATCTGGACCTTGTTTTCGAACGATTACAAAAACATGGCATAACTGTAAACGTTCAGAAATGCCAATTTGGAACCGACTCGTTAGACTTTCTGGGACACACTATCGATGCTCAAGGTATCCGACCCCTTAGAACCAAAGTGGCGGCCATTCTGGATTACCCAGAACCGACCACCGTCAAGCAATTACGCACGTTCAACGGCCTGGTAAGTTTCTATAGACGTTTCATACCCAGATGCGCATCACTTATGAAACCTCTGACCGACCAACTTCGTGGAAATGCGAAATCCATTAATTTGGACGACACCGCACGAAAAGCATTCTCCACAGTTAAGGAACTGATTGCTAAAGCAACAATGCTCGCACATCAGGACACCCGAGCACCCATTAGCATCGCAGTAGACGCATCCGACTCAGCAATCGGAGGAGTCTTACAACAATGGGTTAACAACTCCTGGCAACCCTTGGCATTTTTCTCTAGAAGGTTGCTAGACACCGAATCGAGGTACAGCACATTCGGTAGGGAACTCCTAGCTATGTATTGTGCTGTACGGCATTTCCAACACTATATCGAAGGCCGTGAATTCACTCTTTTCACGGACCATAAACCGCTCACTTTCTCGTTAAGCTCTCCTTCTGACAAGTACTCTCCCCGTGAGTCTCGACAACTGGACTACATTTCGCAGTTTACTTCAGATATTCAACACATCTCTGGAGCAAACAATGTAGTTGCAGACGCTTTATCTCGTATAACTTCCTTGAACAGTTTCCAAGGAATCGACCTTCTTAAACTCGCCGAGCTTCAAAAAGAAGACAGTGATCTTCAGCACGAGTTATCGTCCACAACACTTAAACTACGCATCAAACAGATGGGAACAGGTAAGGAAACCTTACTTTGTGACACATCTACAGGTAGGGATCGCCCAATCGTGCCGAAACATTATCGACGCAATGTCTTCAACACATTGCACAAACTTTCTCATCCAGGTGTTCGTGCAACCATCAAGCTTATAGCAGAACGATTTTGCTGGCCTGGCATGAATAAAGACGTGAGGGAGTGGGCACGCTCCTGTGTAAGCTGCCAAAAATCTAAGGTTATCAGACACAATAAATGTCCCTTAGGCTCGTTTAAAACTCCCGATGCTCGTTTCGACCATGTTCATCTGGATTTGGTAGGACCTTTACCAGATTCAAATGGATACTCTTATCTCTTAACCTGCGTAGACCGTTTCACTCGATGGCCAGAAGCAGTACCTATCAAGGACAGCACTGCTGAAACAGTGGCCCGCACATTCGTCGAACGATGGGTAGCAAACTTCGGTTGCCCTTCAACCATCACTACAGACCGCGGACGTCAGTTTGAATCTGATCTTTTCCGTCGTCTGACCACACTTTTAGGAATCACTCGCTTCCGAACGACCGCCTACCATCCCCAAGCAAACGGGTTGGTAGAACGTTTTCACCGACAACTGAAAGCTTCGCTATCAGCTGCAAACGTTTCACAATGGACCGACGCTCTTCCACTCGTCTTACTAGGTATCCGCAATGCAGTGAAAGCTGACATTGGATACACTGCGGCTCAACTCGTTTATGGAACGACACTTCGACTTCCAGGAGAATTCGTGGATCCTTCGTGCTCTTCGATGAACATGGATCTAACCTCCTACACGAACAGGCTTACAAACGCAATGCGTTCAGTTAAACCTGCTTCCACTCGACCTCAATCAACTGATGTTTTCGTTCAACCTGACTTACCATATAGTACACACGTTTTCATTCGTCGAGACTCGCATCGACGACCATTCGAATCAGCATACGAAGGACCCTTCAAAGTTCTTCAACGTGAATCTAAGTACTATATAGTCGATAAGAACGGAACCAACGATAGCATCAGCATCGATCGCTTAAAAGCAGCGTATTTAGAAGGAAATCCTATCCACGTCGATTTTCCTTCGGTACAATCGAACGACACGACTCAGACACTAATAATACCTCATCCGACAACCAACGCACACGAAGATACTTCGACAGTATCCGAAAATAAACTTAAAACGACGCGTTCTGGAAGAAGGGTGAGATTTCCAGAACATTTAAACGACTATTGCACGTAAGGCACTTCTCGACATTTTATATTATTTTTTTTTTGAAAAAAAAACAATTTTAATATGCTTATATATTTTTATTTCTATTAAAAAAAACAAAACAAAAAAAACAATTTTTT